TTTTAAAAAATTTTTCCCCCAGCTTTATTGAAGGATGATGGACAATTAGTACCATCCCATCGTACAAGTCGAGCAGCTGTTTTTCTCCGGTGACAGCTGGCATACGATAACACGTTAGTGTCACTGTACAGCACAGTGACCCAGAGATCTCTCTAACCGAGAAGGGGTCGCCCCACTCAATCAAGGACCCCACGCGCCCCTCACATAGTTTGACGACACCGTGGATCCCCCGCCGTGATCGGACGTGAAATACACCAGCGTCCTGTTTCTCAAGCCGTTTTCTTCAATGGCACGGAGAATTTCACCTTTACGAGAAGAACGAGACGCGTCGGGACGGAGCATGTACAGCACAGTGACCCAGAGATCTCTATAACCGAGAAGGGGTCGCTCCACTCAACCAAGGACCCCACGCGTCCCTCACATAGTTTTACGACATCGTGGACGATTTTCTATGATTCTGTCTCGCGAGCCCGGGTCACGGCGCGATGGCCCACGCTTACCTACGATCCAGTCCATCTCCTCCACGTGGTCGCCGTACAGGCCGTGCTGACTCTTCCCCCGGAACCGTCTTGCCGTGACCAGGGGCAGGTGCACGTGCAGCAGAGAGACGAACAGCAGGAAGGGCCTGTGCTGGTTTCTGAAACGAGGGAATCACTCTTCACCGATCGGGGCGTCTGTTCTAAAACTGCCGGGTCGGTTCTTTCAAAGCGGAGACTCGCGTTTTCGAAAGCGGCCCATGGAAAAGGCTGACTGCTTCAAACCTATCTGCCCGGACGGTCGGGTTAGTAAATCCTCACGAGGACAGAGAGACTCTGATGCTCTGAGAACGCATCTTGTTAAAACGTGATGCTCTAAGGTGAGCACGAGGCATAGGAAAAGGTGCTCAACATCACCAGCCATCAGACAAATGCACATCAAACCACGACGAGCTGTCACCTCGCACCTGTCAGAATGGCCGCCGTTAATAAATCAACAAACGAGGGTGGGCGAGGATGTGGAAAAAAGGGAACCCTCCGGCACTGTCGGGGAACCCGCCGGGGACTGCAAAGGGGTGCGGGCCCTGTGGGAAACAGTCTGGAGTGTCCTCGGCAAATTCAAAATACAGCTGCCTTATGATCCCACAATCCCACTTCTGAGTATTTCTCTCAAGAAAACCAAAATACTCCTTCGAAAATGTCTACGCAGCCCTGTGTTCGCCGCACCACTACTGACAGCAGCCAAGTCGGAAGCAGCCTCGGTGCCCCAGGACGGACGAGTGCGTGAAGAAGCTGTGGTCCCTCTAGGCCATGGAATATTACTCGGCCAGGAAAAAGAATGACCTCTTAACCATTTGCGACAACAGGAAGGACCTAGAGGCTATTCTGCTGAGTGAAATGAGGCAGATAGAGCAAAGCAAATGCCATAGGATGGAGCTCAAATGTGGACTCTGAGGAACTGAATGAACGAAATGAAAACAGACTCGCAGATCCAGAGAACGTCTCGTTAGTTGCCAGGTGGGAGGGGATCGGCGGAGGTATGAAAAGGCGGGAGGGATGAAGAGGTACAAATGCGGCAGTGACGAAATCTTCACGATCATGTAAGACGCAGCACAGGGAATAGAGTCGAGAATATTGTAGTCGCCACGTGTGGTACGAGGCGGGGACTAGATTTTTGGGGGACACTCACTCCAGAGTTATAAACATGTCTCATGACGATGGTTTACACCTGAAAGGAATATGATGTTGCACATCACCTTTAAGTGAACATGAAATAAAACATATTTACGAAAAGAGAAAAGAATGAAAAAAAAAAAACCAAACACACCCACGAAAGGGATGAATTCGGTACCTCTCGATGTAGGCCACCGCTTCCTCCAGCAGCCGACCGGCCGTTCTTTCCAGATCCATGGGCTGCTCGACGACGTCGCCGTTTCTCATCAGGATACAATTCCAGCGCCGCACGAAGCCGAAGCTGGCGTACCAGGACGCGAAGAACAGGACGACGAGGCCGGCCGCAGCCGCCACGGCTCTCCGAGGTACCGGGACCAAGCCGCAGGTCCGGCCGGGGCCCAGCGTCAGGACGCCCAGCGCCATCAGCCGGGTGTAGTGCCAGAGCGTCGGCATCACGACGCCGCTCACTTGCCCGGGCCGGCCTGGCTGGCAGTCGTTGATGAGCGTCAGGGGCATGCCGTAGAAGTAGTCGAAGCCGTGGCGGAGCGGGTGGTGGCAGTGGTCCGTGCGCGAGTGGCAGTTGACGCCCTGGTGCCATTTTCCTGAGGATGAAGGAGACGCGTCAGATGCGTCTGCGGTCGGGGGGTGGCGGGGGGGGGGCGCTGTCTGTCTCGATGCAAAGTCGGAGCGGCCGCGACGTGAAGTAGGAAAAGGCGGCGACAGAAATCGCCAAGAGGAAACGCGTCGGACGGAAGCGCGGAAGGTGAACGGAATGTAACACGAGTTGGAAAGAGAAAGGAATAGAAAAAAACTTCCGTGATGCCGGCGTTGACACGGAGCTGGGACGCTCCGGGGACCCCGATGAACGCAGCCACGTGGCCACCGCCACCCCGCGATGCAGGCTAAGGTGTTCTGGAGCGTTCGGGGTTACGCGCTTGCAGCCCTGAATCGTTCTGCTGCGACGGGATTCACGAAATATCACTGGCTGTTGTTTTGTTTTTTTGTTTTTTTGTTTTTTTACTTAAAAGAAAACCAGTTGAAAACAGGACTTGGCTTTCGAATAATCTTATGACGGCAAAAGTCACCGTGTTCCTCCACGAACCAGTAATCAGGGGACTCCTGGAGATTTTTTTCCCCCCCAAAGCGGGAACTCATAACGGGATCATAGAGATAGGACCCATGTCCGAGCGCTGGCTCATCCACGGCCACCTTCTGTCTCACGTGCCCCCGACTGTCGGCCAGCTTACATGTGGGGACAAAAGAAGAGAGAAGAGGTTCCGACCCACTGTCTGCCCCAACTTCAAAACGGGGAAGATAAACCAGGTCCTTGCCCCGTGTCCGCTCCTGACACGAGACGTCGGCGAAACTTGCGGGAATTTGTTCCGTAGAAAATAATTAAAGACTCGCCAAAGACACGAACGCACGGCCGTTCGGTTCTGGTAAATGCGGACATCCATCTGTTTCTCTGTTTTAAAGAAAATGCTATGCACACCGTGGGAGGCTGAAGGCAGCGTCCGCGGTCGGGCACTGAATCCGCACGGTGGCTCAGGAAACGTTTTCGTCTATGCAGGTGGCCGAGAAGCTTTATTCTTCTTAGGACTGAGAAGCGAGACAAACAGAAGCATGTAGACGTCTCAGGAGGCCTTTGGGTGATCCTGGGGAGATGGGTTATGCTATGTATGGACTGAGTGTCTGTGTCCCCCGAAGTCGTGTTGAATGCTAGTGCCCCAGGCGTTGGTATCAGCAGGTGCGGCCTCGGACAGGTGACGAGCTCAGGCGGGCGGTGTGAGCCCTCCTGGATTCGGAGCCGGGGGCCTGTGCGTTAAGCTGACGGAAGACACAGGGATGAGATCGGTGCTCTTTATACGAGACCCCGCCGAGCTCCCGCGCCCCTCCCCCCGCTGGGGACGCAGCGAGTCGACACGTCTAGGAACCAGGACGAAGGTCCTCGGCAGGTGCCGAGTCTGCCGCTGCCTTGATCTTGGACATCCAGCGTGCAGAACTGTGAGAAACAAACGTATAGAATATCTGTGTGCAGAGCGGCAGGGAATTTTAAGAGGTGGAACAGTGATTCTTCGTTGCCGTGGAGATAAAGCCGTGCCGACCAGGGCGTGTCACAGCTCTCTGTGACCTGAGCACGGACTTGGAGCGTGGGAAGGCTCGGTGGGGAACGGACCGGCCGTCCCTGGCCCGCGGGGTCGGGCTGAGCACCCGTGGCCCCCATTTCCTAGTGTGTAAGATGGGGCCGCTCCCTCCAAGCCCACGGGCTCACCGAGGAACAAAAGGATTCAGAACCAGAGCGTCCAGCCCATGACAGGAGGGCGCCCGCCTCTCCTGCCCTGTCTGTGCGGGAAGAGGTGACCGGGCAGCCCGAGTCTGCTGCCACTAGCAAGGCTGTCCTGCCAGGCTGGGCGCTGGCCGCTGTCTCAGGGCTGGCCACACTCTGAGGACTGGCCCCGCCCAGGGCGGACACCATCCCTGCACCGTGGGCTGAGCCATCCACGCCGATGGAGCTCCGGACCCCTCCCGGAGCTTGCCATGCAAAGCGAAGCACTGATCCCACCTCCGAGGGCCCTGGGCTGGCACGTGGCCCTCTCGGGGACGGTCATTCTAGCCAAGGGCCTGCTACGTCGGGAGGGGAGAGCACGCAGATGTCCGGGGGGCGGGGAGGAGGTGAATCGAGCGAGACTCTCGCGTTGGAATTACTGGTCAGCGACAGATTCCCACGCTGCTGCCGATCCAGGGCACGTGGGGAGTGGGAGGTGGGTTGTGCTTCTGACACATGACCTTTTCCCCTAGGGGGAGGGCCGTTTCTGGGGGTGGAGGATTTTCGAGATGGGTGCGGGGCGAGTACCTATGAGGCCCGTCGAGTACCCTCGCTGCTGCAGGATTCTCGCAAACGTGGTCTCGTTCTCGGGGAGCCCGCCGGAGCAGGCGTTCCAGGGCAGTACCCGTGTCCTGCCGCTGGTGTCCATGCCTGTGGGGGAGAGGGGACACGAGGCGCTCACCTTCCGTGGGCTGCACTGGGGGCCCGCTCTGCGGACGGCTGCGCACGCTCCCAGGGGCCTCTCCGCAGTGCCCGGAACTGTTTTTTTTGCTTGTCACGACGGGGGAGGGGTGCTGCTGGCACTTTGTGAGTAGGGACACCTACAGGGGCACAGGACAGCACCCCCAGAGACCCCCCAGCCCCAAACGTCAGCAGTGCCGAGGTAAAGAAAGCCAGGGCCTTTGAGAGAGTCTGTCCATCTATGATCTCATTTTACTAATCGGTCTGTCTGTCTGTATCTACCTCCCGTCACCTACCCTGTATCATTTATGTATCTATCATGTATCTACCATGTATCTTCTACCATCTACCTATGCTCTATGTATTTATCTAACCGTCCATCTTCTATCTACCTATCTATCTGGCATCATCTATCTCTGTCTATCATCTATCATCAGTCAGTCAGTCTGTCTGTCTGTCTATCTTTCTATTATCTATCTATCTATCTATCTCTCTATCATCTATCTCTCTATATCTATCTATATCTATCTCTCTCTCTCTCTCTATCATCTATCTCTCTATCTATATCTATCTATCTATCTATCTATCTATCTATCTATCTATCTATCTATCTATCTATCTAGAATTTAGCAGGTGTACTCCTCACCCCCAGGACCTCAGAACACAGCTGTATGTGAAGCTGAGTCTTTACAGAAGGGATTAAGGTAAAATGAGCTCACCAGGGTGGGTCCTGATCCCATAGGACTGTGTCCTTATAACAAGAGATGAGGACAGAGACACACACAGAGGGACGACCACGGGAGGACACAGGGAGGGGACAGTGCCTACACGCCCAGGAGAGAGGCTTCAGGGGGATCCAGCGCTACCCACACCTGGATCTCGGACATCTGGCATCTGGGATGTGACACATAAATGTCTGTCCTTCAAGCCGCAGTCCGTGGTGTTTTTCTGGCCCCCCAAATAGACTAACATGATGGTCCTGGGACATGTGACCCCAGCACAGCGGGTTCACCGCGTCTGCTGCTGCCGAACTGCTTCCACGCGGGGTCTTACAGACAGTGCTACACATGTGTGTTCAGGACACACACGCGCACTTGCCAGGTGCATAGGCATTGCTGGCTCACGGAGCGGGCAGGCCTTCGGCTGACGCAGACCGTCACCAACGAGCCTCCGAAGGGCCTCTGCCCGGGGTCTCTGCACCTGCCGTGCCTGACGAGTCCCACCTCCTGCACGTGCTTGCCGACAGCTGGTCCTGCCTCTCCTTTCCCTTCAAGCCCTCCGCTCAGTAAAATTCGGGCTTTGTTTATTGTTTTGAACGGCCTCGCCAGCCCGCGTCGTGCTCACTGCACGACTACCAGTTTCGACGTGGCTTTGCGGGTCAGGTTCGCTACCGTTGCCCTAAGAACTCAACACAGATCTGGTGCCCTGAAGGACGATACTCTATCTTCTTGCGTTTCTGCGGACGGGAACCCTACAATCAAGGTGCCCGCGGGGCGGCGGTCCTGCTTGAAATGATGCCCGCGTTCCCTGGCTCACGGCCGCTTCCTCATCTCCAAAGGGCCTCACTCCAAGGCCACACTGCTTCCCTGACTGTCACTCCCTACTTCCCTCCCATGAGGACTGTTGTGATGACGCTGGGCCCCCCTTCCCCGCCGGCTCGTCCGCGATCCTGTCGGCATCTGCAGCTCCTTCTCTTGCTCACACACCCGCGCGATCCCCTCTGCCATATGAGGAAACGTGCGCTGATGCTGGGCATGTGGATGTGACATGCTTGGGGGGGGGTGCACGACTCGGCCCCCCGCGCCCACCCGGAGCTCATCTAAAATCATGACTTCACATCAATAGGGGTGCAGATATGTCAACCGATCGACAAACTTCACTACCACTGACGACTTTCAGCGTTCTGATTCCCAGGGATCACGCTTATTATTATTTTTTTTTGGTAGGGCTGCCGAAAACGCAGCATTTATGTAATGACGGGGGGCGGGGGCAGGTTGCATGTAATGTTTCTACCGCAACCTTCACTCTGGTGATTAAAGACAACCGATGCGGGGACGGACGTGCTCCTTTCTCCCTGGTCCCCATGCGGCACCCACCTGATCTGAAAGCGTGTCTCCCAGTGAGGAAGGCCGCTCGGCTCGGGGTGCAGACCGGGGCGGCCGCCAGGTGCTGCGTGAGCCTCACGCCTTCTTCTGCCAACCAGTCGATATGCGGCGTCCTGAACAAACCACACACAGGTCACGGGCGGGAAGAGGACGTGCGTCCAGCCTGAGCAGACCCCCGCGGCGGAAAGCATGGGCACGGAGTGCGTCCTACGACGTCCCTTACGAACGTCACTGGGTTTTAGAGTTAGTTGGGGTCTGGTCCCCTGCGGGAGCAGGTAAAACCACCTCTCAAAAGTGCGATTCGCAGTCCCAGTCCCAGGGGCTGGTGTGGTTTGAATTATCCACTAGCAGCGCAGGTGGGAGCTAGCGGCTTTCTCCTCTGCTTGTCCAGGTCCCAAAGTTAGGAGGGAGGGGAGGGGCTTACGGAGGAATGGGAGTGGCTTACAGAGCGAGGGGTGTGGCTTGCGGACGAAAGGGTGGGGCCGATTGGGACGGGTGTGGCTTACGGAGGGAGAGGCGTGGCTTACGGAGGGAGGGGCGTGGCTTACGGAGGGAGAGGCGTGGCTTACGAAGGGAAGGATGTGGCTTACGGAGGGAGGTGAGTGGCTTAGGGATGAAGGGGAGTGACTTATGGAGGGAGGGGCGTGGCTTACGGAGGGAGGGGCGTGGCTTACGGAGGGAGGGGTGTGGCTTAACAGCTGTCAGCTCTCACACACCAGAAGCTGGAGTGGAACTCCCCCTTACAAGCAGGAACCCCAAAGTGACTTGACTTAGTCCCCACTCTCCATAGCACGGGGAGACGGAGGCAGAGGAAGGAAGGGTGCGGCCACCAGTCCAGGAACGCCTGGGGCCCCCAGAAGCTGGAAGAGGAAGGAAGGCCCCTCCCCTGGAGCCTCGGGAGGGAGCAGCGTGGCCCTGGGACACCTGATGTCACACTCCTGGTCTCCAGGACCGGGGGGAGGACGCATTCCTGTGATTTTCAGCCACCCAGTGTGTGGTCACTGGTTAACGCTGCCCAGGGAAACACACGTTCTATGTTGTTTGAAAGGCTTTGGACTCTCTCTTTTCCTGTCGAAAGCTAAGCTGTTCGGTGTTGCGGTCTGATGCACTAAGCAATTTCCTGCTTTCCTCGGGCAGATTTTAAGTGCAGCCTTCAGCCAAATCCAGACACAGACACGCATGACCGCCAGCACCATCGCACTGTACCTCAGCGTATCGTTTCCATAGCAACCCAGATCCCCAATGCCAAGATCGTCTGCCATTATGAGTAGGATATTTGGCTTAGAGGCATTGGCTGCCTTCACTTCGCAAGTCCTCAGAAGCAAACATACAACGAGAAGAGGCAAACGGTCCCTGCAGAGAAAAGCGAACGGCAGAAATAAACGCGTGTAATTTGGAATGAAAAGTCAGCGTCTCAAACGCACTCGCTGGGCAGGCTTCCGAATTTCCATTAAGTTAGGATTTAACCGGGGTTGAATTTCCGAATTTCCATTAAGTTACCATTTAACCGGGGTTGAATTTCCGAATTTCCATTAAGTCACGATTTAACCGGGGTTGAATTTCCGAATTTCCATTAAGTTACGATTTAACCGGGGTTGAATTTCCGAATTTCCATTAAGTCACGATTTAACCGGGGTTGAATTTCCGAATTTCCATTAAGTTACGACTTAACCAGGGTTGCGGCAGCTTTTGATTCCTTTGTCCCAGGTGCTTGCAGGACAGCACGCACCTGTGCCAAAGCTTTGAATCCAGGCCCCTCCTACCTAACCTTGTAATTAGCCGCTTCAGTGAAGGCGGCTCTAACGCGGGCTGCAACGCGCGGGCTGCGACGTCAAGGGCAGGGGTGCAGGGCCAGCAGGGCCCCTCCCGCTGCCCAGGCCCAGCTGTGCGCCTATCGCCTAGTGTCGCGTGTCCCCTTGTTCCGGCTGCGCCATGATGGTGGCGGGGCAGCCGGGCGGGGCAGCGGGAACACTGACATGTGAGATAACGGTATGGCGCCCACGATCGGGGGGTGTACAGATAACGGTACGCCTGCCACCATCGGTGGGGGGGATACAGTTCAGCTGTTTTATAGCGGATTTGAAAGGCTTGTTACCAGCGAGCGCCAGGAGCGCACAGGCGACCGTGCGTAAAGGGACTTGGAGGGGAAGCCGGGCACCCCCGGATCTACCCTACACGCTCTGTAGCCGGGAGGCGCGCGGGCCTGGGTCGTTCTGATCCCGATTGCAGCGTGTCCCGGGACCCGGCAGGGCCCCCGGCGCCGTTCTCATTTGCCGATTGCGCCCCGGTGCGTGGGGAGGGAGGGCACACGGGCGAGACGCGCTGCGTCTTAGGGTCAGCGCTGGGGTGGCGCAGGTCGGCACGTGGCTGGGGAGCGTAGCAGGGGGACCAGCCTGAGCTCCCGGGACGCTAGTGGGGGCCACGAGGGCGCGTTGTAGACAGTGGGGTTTGGGGACGCGACCTAGGGGTTTGTAGATAACCATCCTTAGTGGGGCGGCGGCGGGGTTACAGGCCGACCACGGCGGGGCCCCGCGGGCGAGTCCTGGAGGCTGGCGGTGAACCTAGCGTTTTTCCTCCTCCCCCTCCTCCTCCTCCTCTCCCCGCACCCCGACTTTTCCTCTTCCCTTCACCAGTTCGCTCTTTCTCTACTTCTCCTTCCGTCTACCCCGCGGAGACATTGT